GTGTGTGTGTGTGTGTGTGTGTGTGTGTGTGTGTGTGTGTGTGTGTGTGTGTGTGTGTGTGTGAGAGTTGTCTTGCTCTTTCATGCAGACGGCTTTTTTTGTTTTTTGTGTGTGATTTATGATTTGTGGAAGAATCTGTAGCCTCTGTCCCCAATTTGTGCCTGATAACAGAAAAGTTGGCAATAAAGCCATCGACAATGTTTGCACACATCAAGTGATGATGATGATGATGTTAGCTTGTGTGCTTGTTGTGTCTATCTGTACTATTTTGTGTGTTTTTGTGTTCCTTAGGTTTCTAAGTACTAACAGAGGTAGTTTTTATGATGAGCCTTGAAAGCTTTTGTTTGTTTATTTGTTTGTGTGTGTGTGTGTGTGTGTGTGTGTGTGTGTGTGTGTGTGTGTTGTCAGTGGCTTCTGTTCTGTTTGTGTGTCAGCTTATGTGTTTTTTGCGTTTCTCAGTCTAATGGTCCTCCACTACTGTTGTGTTTTTCAGTCACCAGACACAGACAACCTGCTGGGACCATCCAAAGATGACAGAGCTATACCAGTCACTAGGTAAGAAACACACACAATCACTTAGCATCTTCAGTACCTCGAATAATCTTGACCAAACATCTAGTTAAAGGGGCAGTTTATCTAATTACAAAAAAACATATTTTCTTAGTTACCTTGATTTATCTCAATTTTGGTTTCATTTGGCCATGTTTTATCATATTGCACATATCGTCTCTGAGATTTCAAATATGTGTTCGGAAACCATGTTCTTGTCCATCTGGATAATCGACCAAATTCACCGTGAACTGTTTTATAGAAGTTCTCCAGTTCAAATGAAAAGTTTTCCAGGTGTGTTCTCGGTTTTCTTGTGAACTCACAATCCTGTGGACTCATTTCTCTCTTGTCCGTTTAGTTTACTCTTCAGATTTACCTTGATGAAAACTGCACCTTGATCTTTTCGCTCTTTCTCCTGCTCCCTGTTAATATCCATATGCGTGTGTCTGTCCCAGTGGGGTGGCTGGTATGACGGTTCATTAATGAGCAGCCGGATAAGTAATAAGCTGTGAAACTTTGGGAGCGTTCGCTGTAGGCCAGCAGCTCAACAAATAGCACCGGCCCCCTCCGAGACAGAACTCACTAACCTAATTACACAGACCACATCAGCCACCCCTCCCCTCCCCCGGTCATCTCCATAGACAATAACTAAGAAAAAGTCGGCTGTCATTGACGACAGAGGGCCTGCTTATGTTACTCGGTGGGCAGATTTCTGTTGCACTTTGTGTTGTGATTTGCTTTTTTCATCTGTACACCTTTCATCTCTTTGTCTCCATCCCTGTCTGTAGCGGACTTGAACAATGTGAGGTTCTCAGCATACCGAACAGCCATGAAGATCCGCAGGCTGCAGAAAGCACTGTGCTGTAAGTAAGACGCACATACACTCGAACACACCTTAATACCTGCAGTCGTGATCCGCTTCTTTTGAAGTCTTGAGTGCAACGAGGGGCTGCAGTAATGATTTGAAGCTTCGCCAGATGCTGTGCCAGAACAGTGCAGAAGCCAAGGATATTTTGGCTTTTAAAACGGCACACTCTGTTTCAGTGTGTGTATGGGCAGGATTTTGACTGTGCACAGTCACAGCTGGTGACTGTGTGAAACTTGTTGAGTATAGCCTCATGTTGGTGTGCACAGGTGGGATTTCTATAGGCTTTGTTTTTATTATTTTTTTATTTCTCTCAACACAAGAGCTGCTGTCTTCTCGTTTATAATGGAAGCTTTGATAAAGGCGGCTATTACCGACAGTCTCAGGTGGCTATCAAACCCATGTACACACACACACACACACACACACACACACAC